TGGACAGAAGGTGGGGCTATACCTCTTGTGTTTAAGGAAGAGCAAGGAGGCCGGCATGCCTTTAACTAGAGTAAATGATAGGTGAGTGATAACCTATGAGATGAGAAATAATGAGTGAGATCATGCAGGCCTTTAACATTAACTGTGAGGCATTTCTCCAAAGCTATACTGGAGGGCTGAGCAGAGCTAGGATTTGAACTGAAGCCAGCCTATGGGTATCTGTGGCTTTTTTTTTTAGGGGTCTCACTCTGTCGCCCAGGCTGGAGTGCAGTAGTTCGATCCTGGCTCGTTGCAGCCCTGACCTCCTAGGAACAGGCTATTCTTCCACCTCAGCCTCTTGACTAGTGGGACTATAGGTGTGCACCACCATGCCTGGCTAATTTTTTGATTTTTTTGTAGAGACGAGGTCCCACTGTATTGCCCAGGCTGGTATCGAACTCCTGGGCTCAAGTAATCCTCCTGCCTTGGCCTCCCAAAGTGCTGGGATTATAGGCATGAGCTCCACGCTTGGCCCCACTATCTGTGGTTTTATTATTCATCCTTTGCCATCCTTGAAAACTCCCTAAGTTCCCAATTGTTTTACAACTGAGTGTCTATAAGGTTAATGACAGAAATTGCAGGATGAATGATGGGGGTCTGTAGGGTGAGTGAAGGGGCTCCATGGGCATCTGTGGGTGCATGCCAGGTGGTCTGTGAGGTGTGTGATGGGGGAGGACTGTGGGTTGGGAGATGGAACAGTGGAGCGAGTGTTAAGGGGTCTGTGGGGTGAGAGATGGATTCTGCAGGCTGAATGATGGGAAAATTAGAGGGTTAGTGAATGAGGCTCTGTGGAATGAGCGATTGGTGGGTTTGTGGGGACAGTGATAGGAGTTGGTAGGGTAAGTGTGGTGTGAGTGATGGAGGTTCGTGGAGTCAGTTATGGGGATTCTGTGGGGCAAATAATGGGCAATCTATATGGAACAAATGAAAGAATGTTTGCAGGGAGTGATGGGCTCTTAGGGGTTAATGATGGGGTATATGGGGCGAGTGATGGGGGTCTGTGGAGTTAGTGACAGGATGTCTGTAGAATGATTTATCAGAATCTAAGAGGCTGAGTGATGTGGGCTCTGTGAGGTGAGAGATGTGGCATCTGTGTGGTGAATGATGAGGTCTGTGGGGTGAGGGATAGAAGGTCTGTGAGGTAAGTATTGGGGAATGTGTGGAAGTGAACACAGAGGGATGTTATGAATTGAACTGTATCCCCTAAAAATCCATGCTGGAGCCCTAACCCTTAGTACCTCAGGTGACTGTATTTGGAGATAGGGCCTTTAAAGAGGTGATTACGTTACAATGATGGTAGGGTGGGTCCTAAACTAATCTGACGGGTGTCCCTATGAGATTAGGACACAGACATGCTCAGGCATGGAGGGAAGGCAGGCAGAGGGAAGATTGTGTGAGGAACAAGAAGTAGGTGGTCATCTGCAAGCCAGAGAGTGGTCTCAGGAAAAACCAAACCTGCTGGAGCCTTGAACTTGAACTTCCAGCCTCCAGAACTGTGGGAAAATATATTTCTGTTGTTTAAGCCACCCAGTCTGTGGCATTGTCATGGCAACCAAAACAAACTAATACAGATTTTGGTGTTCGGAAATGGGATGCTGCTGTATCAACTACCTAAAATGTGGAAGTAGCTTTGGAACTGGATTATGGGTGGAGTTGAAAGAATTTTAAGGTGCATGCTAGAAAAAACCTACATTGCTGATATAGTCTGAACATGTGTGTCTTCTTACCAAAATTCGAATGTTGAAACCTAATCTCCAATGTGATGGCATTAGAAGGTAAGGCCTTTGGGAGGTAATTAGATCACAAGAGAAAAGTTCTCATGAATGGGATTGGTGCTCTTGTAAGGGACATGAGGAAACAGAGAAGGCACCATCTGTGAGAAGTGGGCCCTCACCAGACACTAAATCCACTGATGCCTTGATTTTGGACTTTCCAGACTCCAGAACTGTGAGGAATACATTTCTGTTGTTTATAAACCACTCAGCTTGTGGTATTTTGTTATAGCAGCCCGAAAGACTAAGACAATTGCCTTGAAGACTGTTGGTAGAAACATGGATGTTAAATGTGCTTCTGGAGAGGCCTCAGATGGAAATGAGGAACATGTTGTTAGAAACTGGAGGAAAGGCAAAGAGTTTGGTTGAATTGTGCTCTAGTGTTTTGTGGAAGGTAGAGCTTGTGAGTGATAAACTTGAGTATTTACCTGAGACTTCCAAAGTGTTGAGGACTGGTTTTCCTTGATGCTTACAATAAAATGTGAGAGGAGACAGATAAAATGAAAAATAAATTGTTAGACAGAAAGGAACCAGAATGTGAAGATATGGAAAATTCTCAGCCTATCGAATATTGCAAAAGCTGAGAAAGTGTGTTCTGATGAGAACACCAAGGGTGTGGCTAGACAGTCACCACCATAAAGAGATCATGGGTGTGACTCATTGATATGATCAGCCATCTTAGCCACAGCCAGGAATAGAGATGACACAATACCAGCAGAAACACTGTCAGCTGGGACAAAGGGGACAGAGGTGGGACAAAATGAAGGAAGGCTGTCAGACTTCTGGGATTCAATAGGACAGGACAATAGAGCTTTCTGCCTGTGAACATGAATACTTCAAGAAAAGGGAAGAGTGATCCCAAAGGTAGGACTGTCTCCTTCTCAGTTCCAGAGGGTGAGGACACCTCCTTCATTTCAGTGGGTCAGACTGCCACCCAGGGATGAGAGAACAACACTGCCTCTCCAGTGGGCTGGGAAAGTGGGTCCTCCACCTTGATGGGCCCAGAGGACAGAACATCCAGTCAAAGATAATTATTCTCAAGCCATGTATGTTTATTGCAGTATTGTTCACAATAGCAAGAACATGGAACCAACCGTGCTGCCCATCAAAAGAGGACTGGATTAGCCGGGCTCGGTGGTTCAGCCTGTAATCCTGCTCCTTGGGAGGCTGAGATGAGTGGATTGCCTGAGCCCACAGGTTCGAGACCCGCCTGGGCAACTTGGGGAGAC